GCAAATATTTTAATCGAAAATCTTTTTTTTTTTTTAATAAGCCACAATGGGGCAAAGAAATTTAAGTTTGCGGGCCGTGTAACACACAATAAAAGAGGTGTACGAAAAATGGACCAATATTTTTCCGAGGTGAAAAGATATGAAAAAATGTGATAAAATAAATATTAAAAAAATATTATTATCACGAAAAAAAAAAAAAAAATACAAAAAATTTCGAATAATCAAATAATCACAAAAAAACTTTCATACATTAATAATATAAACAAAATTTAAAAAAAAGTAAAAAAAAAAAAACAAACAAATTTAATTTATATTTCTTACAGTTCTCTCTCTTTCATTTATTTTCTCCTTTGTTTAAGAAAAAAAAAATAATGAACGGATTAATTTAAACAATTTTTTTAAAGTTATTCCGATGTTTCTCTAACCCCCTTTTTATTTCATCATATTTTTTGTTTGTATTTATCATTAATAAAAAATAATTAAAGAAAAAAAAGAAAGAACAATATCAAAAGGATTAAGAATCATTATTATTAATACACTGAAGTGAATTATTAAGCATAATAAGCATAATTTATTGTTTATTTCTAAAACCTAAAAAAAAAATATTAATATGATTTGTATATTAAAAAAAGAATTCAATACACAAAATATAAATCATTGAGATATTTTTAACCTTCGTTACATATGATCAAAGTTTATTCATTATATGTTATTAATTATCAAACGAATAAATACATAATAAAAATTCTATTAATATATTATTTAATTTTTCGGCAGGGGAAAGATACAAATTAAAATATGTAATAAAAAAGAATGAAAGATTCCCTTATGATTTACTGAATGTGGTCTTTACCGTTCTTTAGCGGAAAAAGAAATTCTCATTAGAAAGTTAAAAATAATTATATTACTTTCTTACTCATAATAAATGTTAATTTATCTTGTAAACCAATGAATCATTGTTTCATAACCTTTTTTAATTATACTTCATTTATTTTATTTAATTTAATTTATTTTATTTTATTTTATTTTTTTCGTTTGAAAAAAATCTCTCCAAGAATTCTAATACTTTCTTTTTCGGATATTTCGGAAGGTCTTCCGAAAAATTTCCTGGGTCTTGTATCTCATTATTTTATGCACAATAAAAAAAAATGGATTAAAAAAAAAAATGATATATATATTTTTTTTTTATGAAACTTAATTTCTTTTTTGTGTTTATTTGTTTAATTTTTTGTTATGAAAGGAAAATCCGATAATTGATTTTCGCATATAGTGAAACAATGAAGAAAATAATATATCTATATATATATATTATACAAAATATATATTACGTACAAAATATATACTATGATATACCTGTATTTGAAAGATATCATTTTAAAAACAAAACTGTATGAAAATTTTAAAACTTGCATATGATCAAAAATTTTAATTTTATTTCACAACTTGTTTGATTGACACACAGAAATTAAAAGTTTACGTTTTAAAAAAAAATGGAGAACTTTTTTTTTTTTTTAAAATAAAAAAAAATTTGCTAACAAAAGAAAAAAAAACCGGAGAAAATAATTTGCTAACAAAAGAAAAAAAAAACGGAGAATTCATACATTGCCCATTACATACTCTGAAAAGCACGTGAAATATAATTCTTTTATTATCCAAATTTCGTTATAATCCATTTTATTCAAAGGGTTTATAATGAACCTAATGAAACCTAATAAACGAAGAAAATCGGAAAAAATAGACCTCTCATTAAACATCATTTCCCTTTCATTTTCAAAATGTTGCACCATTTGTTTTCCAAATATGAAATCTGTTTCCCTAATTTGAGTAAACAAATGATTTTCTGATTTTTGTTTGTTCAAAGACTTCATGACGTCATAATAATTTTTATTTTTATTTGATCATATGATAAATTAAATTGTACATGTACGTCTTATGATCTGAGTTTGAACTAATGGCGTTAGTTTATAAATTATAAATGTTTAGTTTGTTTAGTTTATGCTTTTTATTTTGCTTTCGAAAATTTCTTAATTGAGAAAAAATTATGTTAAACTAATGGGAATATCACCGTCAAAAATAAGTAATCAAAAATTTTACAATAAATGGAAAGTTCTGAACTTATTACGTTGGGTTGGGTTGCGTATCTGCGCTTCTTTTCGGATTTCTCGCGATCTCCCGAAATGTGAAATTCTCGTATTACAATCAACTAGCTTTGGTTTCTTTTTTTTTTTATCATTTCCAAATTTATATTCAATTTAAGGATAAGGCGTTCCAAAAAGTATTCCACCGCAGCAAGAAAAATTCATTTTAAAGTTTTTGTTTAGTTTAGAAATTTTATATAACATCTTTTAATTGGTGAATCCAAAAATTTGTTTGGTTCTTCATTCAACTTTTAATATCAATAAAAAAAAATTAATTAATGATTGGATAAAAAAGACAAAAAAAAATTAAACTCTACGTGTGTAACAAGAATTTTTTACGCCCTTTTGAAACATCTGATAAAATTATCATATGAAAATAATCCCCCTTTTTATCCTTTCATTCAATTTTGATATAAAATTGTTGAAACAAAAAAAAAAACGAGTTTTTTTTTTTCAAAAATCACGCAAATTAAAAT